GGATATGGCAATTTGCATGAATTTACAGTAGCTTCGATAGCTAAAGCTGCTTTGACAAGTTATTACATGCTGGCTTCAGTATCTTTACAATCAACGCTCAATTACTGCTGTAGACCACTTGTAATATTTCATTTTCCGTTCTAATTTCCAATATTCAAAAAGAAAATTAGTTCATATCGCAGCAATTATTTGATAAATCTTTGGCATGTATATAAACAGACATTCTGAATAATTTTTATTTATTTGTATTTATTAACCACTAAGACCAAAGCCTTATATAGAACAGCATATTACTACAGCAGCAGTTAACTGTCGGTTCTTGGTCTGTAAATGCCTCTAAAATTGTTCACTTGTCTCTCTGTCACTTTCCGTCCATCCTCGTATGAATCGTTCTATTCTCTCTGCTCCCTGCGGCGCGAGCATGCTCTGTCGTAGAGGCAGCAGCCGTGAGCTTAACTCAACCTTTTTACTTCAGTAACAAAGAGGCCCATGTCTCTCATTCTGGGCTAAGTGCTTCTCACAATTGTCAGTAAACTGTTGGGAAAACGAGCCCCGCAGCCCACAGTGCTCTTGCATTTATGGTGTCCGCGGAGAACACAGAGCAAGGGATTAAGGACTCCCTCAGGCGGAAGAAGTTATTATGTGTATAATAATATATTGTGTGTGCATTTGTCTGTATGTGCAGTTGCGAACCGTCAGTATTAGAGCTGGGCCTTCAACTCAACGATGACAGGTTTAAAGCTGGCGACCAGTTTAAAGTTGTGCAAAACAGCAACATGCATAAAGATATGCGTTCTTAAACTTAGCTCACATTGATTCAACACAATTCAACTGGTCATTTCGTTGGCTGACTGACTGACTGAAGTTGCTGATCTGCTACCTTAAATCCCTGTACAGAAAAAGGTAAACCCCGTGAGATAGCTCTGGCCTTGAGCCCTGAGGAAAGCCTAGGGCAGTTCTTCCAACATGAAAACAATTTTTCAAGTTCCGACTGGGGCACTTTGGCTATGCTTGTTTTGCTTAGTTTGCTGCCTACAAATTGGAAGTATCCCCACAATGTTCTGTTGAGTTTTCACCCATTGAGGATTGAGAGAAGACACCGAGCAGACCTATTCGAAAAAGCTGATGACATTTTCCCCTGTGCGATAGCTCTGGCCTCGAGCCTTTGGGAAGGCCTAGGGCAGTGATTTTTGGTCCCATCCACTATAAATGAAAATGTGATTGGTTAATTCACCTACCACTGTCTAAACAAACACATGCAGGAGTGGGGGCTTCAGGTCTTCTGTCTTGGTTATGAACTCCTAACGAATGAGTGATGCAAAAATGAGTTTGGATAACTCTTTATGAAGCAAATTTGATGAAATGAAAGAGATTAAATGTAACATTTAAAATGCTGAGGCCCACAAGGCCCTGACCGTTATGCACTGGTATTGTACATTATAAGAATTCAATGGACTTCCCATGTGAAAAGTTAAATGACGGTGCCTGAGACAGTCAGTGTTGAGTTGTACTGGTGGACTGATATTACAAATACCAGCCTGTGTGCAGAGCTTCCGTTGACCTGCCTCATGCATAAAGGATGAAGAGGTCCTCTCTCTGGTTTCATGTCTCCAGGGAGGTCCCAGGACTGTCCTAAACAGCTGAGTCACCCTGTGGTGTGTCCACCTCCAGCATCTCACACTTCTCACTGCTCTAACATACACATACCACCTTTGTGTGCCTCTGCTTTCAGCTTCACTCCCAGTCGACCTCAACCTGATGGCTTAGTGTTCCTGTGTTCTCTCTGTCTTTGAAACAACTGGTGAAAGGCGCAATGTTGAGTTACATCACTGGCTCTAATCTCTATATATCCTCTAAAAACAGCCATTTTATTCAAAGTGTATTTGTCCCCTTTTTAACCTCTGCATCACTCAGATACATTCAAGCCTTGAGAGCTCTCTGACTGATATTTCAGCCTTGTGAATGAAGAGTTTTCGCCCTTTTAGTGCTGTATTCTTTTTGTTTGTGCTCCTACCTTTTCTTCTTCCGCAAAGGCACGATGCTGAGTTGTAAAATGTTACTGGCTGACAACACCTGTGCATAGCCAAGCAACTTTCTACCTTGTTGGCACATATTCTCAATTAATGTTCAGCCTGCTGACTAGTTATTTCCTGTCATGGAAGTTTAGAAGGTACAATCATGTCAGCTGTATGTCCACTTTATTCTTTGTGTTCAAAAGACAATGGCAAAATGTTCGACCAGTCTACCTTTATTTGCTCCAGTGTTTGGTGTGTCAGGGCCGTAAAGATTTAACACAAAAACAAAGCATCTGGATTTTTTCAGTCTCAATATGAGATTGCAGGGTTCTACATAACCCCCCCCCCCCCCCCCCCCCCCCCCCCCCCCCCCCCCCCCCCCCCCTAAAAAACACTGACTTTTTTACTGTTCTCACCTTGGATGAAATTGCAAATACTCTTGTGCACCTGGTCTGAGTGATTGTAAAAGTCTTCATGCTGTCCTGTGAATATGTGCTAGGACAAGTGTTGGAAAGTGTGAGAACCAAAGCAGATCAGAATGAGGTCAGGACAAGGTGAAATTTTGCTGCTCCGGTTAAGCGATGTTGTTCAATACTTTAGAGAGACACATTATAACTGAAATAGTGTTTTTACTTATATTCAATAGGTTTTTAAATGTACAAGAAAATCAACATGTGACACTGATAAACTAGATTGTCTAGAGTCACGCTTGTAGTCTTGGGCTCAACAAGCTTGACCGGCCAATCCAAAAATATCTGTGTGTGCGTGTGAGCTATGTGTGTGATCCCATTTGTTGAGCTCATCTCAGTGTTATTTATGTAACAACATTCACCTTTTATTTTGTTTTTGTATTGGTTTATTGTTAACATTGTAAAGTGTTCATAAAAATAATACAAATTTACAATGTTAAGTTTTTGTACTAATGAAGCAGCAAAAAAGTACAAAAGAATAAGATGTGAAGTCTAGGAATAGGGGCCCCAAAAGCTACAAGTTCACTGGTTGTACTGTTCATGAATTTGAAAACTCATCATCAACTTAGATGCATCTTCATGGCCTTCATTACTGAATCTTGTGGCCCAGGCTTTATAAACGGGCAGTGTGTCAATGACTTAATATATAATTTTGCTTGTTTGTTTTAAACCTGTTATTATTGTAATTTGTAATGTGCTTATGTGTTTTATCTAAAGTAAACATTCAGAAAAGCAGGGGGAAATTACTATTATAGGAGTACTGTGGAGCTAGAACCAATGATTATTTTCCAGTGGCGAGCCGTGAGTATTACCAGGATGAGATGCGGCAGATCCATTTTACCAGTCTGCACGGCAGCTATCAGCTCTTTTCATCTTGGTTGCTGGTGACCAGTGTAAAGCTCATGCAAAACAGTGTAGCAACACACATAAAGATATAAATGCCTAAACTTTTGCCAATATTGACATGCTACACATCGTTAGCTCAGTTCATTTTACAGAAACCATGAGTACAAAAGTATAATTAATTCAGATTTACCGGCATCGCAAACCAGCAAGACGGCAAAATGGTGGCGACTCCATACGTTTGAAGCTGTGCAGTCAGATTGTCTGTCTTTTCACAAACTATTTATATTCCTTAAGTCTGTAAGTGTTCGCATATCAAATGAACCAAAAGTGTTTTTCATAAAAGTATTTTATACTGAATTCTGAATATTGTGATGTGAAGGAAATTGCAGACAGTCTGATTACTTTGCCATTTGTTCTGTGACTGTTGTCTGACTGACTGAAGTCATTAATCTGCTATCTTAAACCCCTTGAGCCTTCAAGTGATTTTTGGTCCCACTCACTATAAATTAAAACCTGATTGGTCAATTCACCTGCCACTTTGTAAACAAACACATGCAGCTATAAGGGCTTCAGGCCATCTGTCCCAGTTATGAAGTCATCACCAATGAGTGAGCTAGCTAACCTTTTCTCTGCCTAAGGACAACAAAAAACAAAAAAGAAAATCTGATTGGATAACTATGTTCATTGTTTTAGGACAGTAACCGTTTCATTTCTGAGGAAAACTTGATAGAAAATTAGGCTAAAATTAGGATTAGAAGGGAATAATTATAAAATTAGAATTTGAAGAGAATAATTATCAAATGAAAGAGATTAGATATAACATTTAAAACTACATGTTTGTGGCCTAGAAGACCCTGATGGTTCCCCACTGTTATTTTCATTATCCGTGTGTTAGTGTAACACTACAATAAGTGTTACTACACTACAATAAGTGTTACTACAATATATATAGAAAAATGAGTAAATATTCACATTTGAGTTAGAATAGGATAATTTTTTTGCATTTTCTGCTTTAAAAAAAGACTTTAATAATTAATCCATTACCAAAATGAATTAAAACTAGTAATTTTATCTCTAGAGTACTGGTTTAATTCTAGGTGTCTGAGGAAGTTATGAAACTGCCATGGAGGTCTGTAGGGGTCCAATAAAAAGTTTTTGTCCTTGGAGTTTAATCCAGCCATGGCATTTGTTGATGAACAGGTATCAATGACCTACTGAGCAATAATCTGGTATTTGGGAGGAATTTAAAGAGAATTTATACTGTTAACATTATGAAACAGTAAGTGTACTAGAACACAATGAGTACAAAAATAACACTGTAGATTGGGAAGAATTATGCTGTATGTTGGGGGCAGTAACCCAATATTGCCCTGGATTTATTTCCATCATTGTCCATGGTGTTTCTACAGAACGTTTCTTTCTCTATACTTTATTATGCACATTCATCAGTCCTGCAGAGCTGTACTAAAATGCTCACATCGCATTAATCTGTTTATCCATTTGTGTCTGTGTGTACTTCTATATTCTGTCCTCAAGTGTTTGTGCCGCTGTGTGTTGTCCATCCGACACACGGTATTAATACCAAGCTCATGTTTTTTTATGATAATCAATGATATCTAGTTCCTATTAACAATCTATTGTTCTCTTTTCTCTGTTTGTGTGTCCATAGGAAACAGTTGAGTATGCCTTCCTCATCATTTTCACAATTGAGACCTTTCTGAAGATTATTGCTTATGGTTTGGTGATGCACCAGAACGCGTACGTGAGGAATGGTTGGAACATGCTGGATTTCGTCATTGTTGTCATAGGGTAAGTCCTCAAGTTCACTTATTTCAATTAATTTATTTCAAGGAAACATAGTGTCTGCCCTAATACACGTCTTATTAGATATATCTGTCTGCAGATCAGGTCATGAGGTCTTGTTATTTTAGTAATGGTCTTTGAATTTGCACTTTGATCTCAGTTTGACAGTTGCAGTTTACAGTGTTTGTGAGAGAGGCAGTCAGTGTTACAGTTAAAGTTGCTTAAGCCTCTGCTCCAAGTGGCCAAGTGCTAATAGAGACCCTCATACACCCACAGTATATGACCCAGAAAAGACAGAGAGAATAAATCAGAGCTTTACCACTACTGGAGTGAGTCACCATCTCTCCATACTTCATCTCCTCTCCAACACTCCCTCCCATCGTTCCCTCTCCTCTCCTCTCACTGACTGTCTTTCGCTCACATTCTCCCGTCCTGCTCTGCTTTGTCTCTGCAGCTCTTTCTTATTGCTTCCCCCTTCCATTTTGATCTCTCAAATGGTTGTACTTCATGATTTACACTTCCCCACCTCATGCCGCCCTCATTTCTATCTCCTGCACACTCTCCTCTTATTATCTTCATCCTTATCACACCTTCTTTTTTCTCTCCTCTATCTTCCTTCTTCTCTCTCCTGTCTCTATCGCTCCTCTAATACACACAGTCCACTGGGTAGCTGGGTCAGATCTCTGTCTGTATGCAGCATGCAAGGTTGATCTGCCATGCAGTCAAATGCAAAGACGGCTGCTCCTGCTGTGGAGAGTGACCGTTGCTGCTAAATCACTGAAATGGCACACCAAGATAATACTGCCAGTAGCTGATGTGGAAATATAACTCAGTATGGCTCTGAAACAGTTTTATAAATCCATGTCAAAGGTCAAGGTTCAGTCCACTTCACCACAGGCTTCAGTATGTTTGTGTCTTTATAGATTATAGGAGGTCACATTATGATTTTACAGAAGAAAGAAAAAGGGTGCAAGATATGGTTCCGTTGTGCTTTATGAAGGATGTGAATGTAACTCTGATCTGCATTGAGAGAAAAATGTGAAAATGCAAGAAAAAGGCTTGTAAGGTATAATTTTGCAGTAAAAAGCCTCTTTTCTTTAATTATCTGATGGTGAAAAAGTCAAAACCAAGTGGTGGAAAATGTATTTAAGATTTATTAATGTAGAGTAAATTAGTTTTGCGATGAAGAAAAAGTTAACAGTAAGGTCACATAGAAGAACATTCATTGAATGTATCAGAAAAAAGGGACGTTTTTAAAGTTTGAGTATACAAGTTTGAAGTGGAGGTGAGTAATCATGACAAAGGAAGCTTGTTTTGTAAAGGGCAATGCCGTTGTGTTTGAAAATGTTAGCTCTTTTTCTACAAATAATATATAATGTACAATGTTGTTAATTTCTGTGGTTTTGGTACTGTTTTGGTTCACTCTCACCACTCCCATAGAGCAGTTGCGGTATACGTCTTTTTGTAGATAAAAAGTGCAGATGAACCCACTGTTCTCCCAGCACCAAACAGAGTGATTTGTTGCAATGGGGCAAAAACATGTAAAATTACTTAAACTGTCTTTTAAATAGTGAGGAGAGACACTGGGAAACATAATCTGACTTCACTGGTGATATATATCACTTTTGTGAAAGCGGCTCTCCTAAGGTATGTTCAGTAAAAAAAAAGGTGTTGATATGTGAAAGGTTTTCGTTTGAACATGACTGGATGAGTAATGAAACCCGAGTGGCAGGCGGTCAATCTTACAGCTGTGAGTCAGTGTAACATAAGTCTGAGCAGACTGTGCTTATAGGCCCTCAGAACTCCTTCCAGCCCCTATCGGCAGCTTCATTCACCGCTTTTAGTCCACAGCTTTGATGTGATGTGTCGAGATGATTTCCCCTCTAGGCTAGGTGAGGGATGTCTAACTGACTGTAATGAAGCGTCCACTGTCATGGTGAGAGATTCGTTCACTGCTGGTTTTAATTTAGGCTTGCAGTGGGAGACTGTTTGTGGTACATTTATCTGTTGTATACAAACATGCTACTTATATGCTTAAACTGGGCATTGAGCCAGAGGAGGTGAGATGCTGCAGCATTGGCCTGAACTCTCAGCTTTGCCCCTGGCTTTATATTGAGAGGCTTTTGTTTAACGTAGTACTGTATCACTAAGTAATAATCTGCTAAGGAAAAAAAATAACTGGCATAATTTTGTCAAATTCTAAAAATTACAAGGCAGTTAATCCTAATATGTGTTTGGTAACCAGTTTTTATACCACTATTTAAAGGTGCACTATATTTGATATATGTGTAGTACTCTTATTGATACAACTGTTTGCTGGTGAAGACACTGAAAGTGGGAGCTACCAGCAGAAATGAATGGAAGACAAATCATGGATTTTTGAAGTTTAAAGCCATTGAGGAAAGTGATTAATTGTTTGGTATTAACAAATACTGAGCTTGTAGATTTTATCACAGTACACTCATTATGTCAGAAAATAGTGTAAAACATAGAGTTTAATTTGCGGAGCCCAAGATGACATCAACTAGCACTCCAAAACCCAAAAGTTTAGTTCAGTATCACGTATGACAAACACACTTGGAACACGTGGAATCGATTATCAATTATCAAATCAGTTGCTGATTAACTTTCTGTCAAATGACTAATTGATCAACCGGCTACTCACTTCAGCTCTAATAACATGAGATAAGGCTGCTCTGGAAACGCCGTGCACCGTTCACTTAACACTCACATGCTTTCCTTATCACAATAATACTGTGACTTTCTTCTCTTTGTTGTTCTGACAGACTCTTCAGTGTTGTCTTGGAGCTTTTGACCAAAGAGGAGAAGGGAGATGGCGAGGGAGATAAAGAACACCCGTCGATGCACGGGCATGGGGGTAAACCAGGTGGATTTGATGTTAAAGCCCTTCGAGCCTTCCGTGTGCTGCGACCCCTGCGGCTGGTCTCAGGAGTACCCAGTAAGAACAAGAGCTGCTGAGCTCCACATACCATCACACATGCAACATATGTTAACCCAGTGTAACCCAGTACATAACATTTGCTACATATTTTCTGTATATATTGTATAATGGTCTCAGTCCTTCTTCCCAGTAAGGGTAGGGTCCAGATGGTCTATGTTCCATCCCTGAGGACTGTTTTTCATCTGCTCAAGTTCTACATCAGCGCCCTAGAGACATGAGCTCTGTGTGTGATAGAAACAAACAAACTCAGAGTAAACACTTCTGACACATTTTCTGATCTAAATGTGGTTCTACATGTACTGAAGTATATACTGAAAGTAGTTTCAAACTTGTAGATAAAGCAGCACTGATTCATGACAGTGATGAAAGTAGGAAAAACATACAGAATATGGTGTTGTTGCACACTTTAATGTTTTTGATTAATGAAATTGAATGATTAAACTGCATTTAGGCGGTTCGAAAGTAAACAGGAATACATAGCAAACAGGGTTGACAGCTGGATCATCTGGGGACTCTGAGTTTTTAGTTGTAAGAACGGGAATAGGGAAGACGCCACTGAGTTCTTAATGTGCATACACTTGTAAAAGTACAGCCCGGCTTCATATAATGTCTCTGTTTTCTTCTTTGCATAGGTTTACAGGTGGTGTTGAACTCCATCATTAAAGCCATGGTCCCTCTCCTTCACATTGCCCTCTTGGTCTTGTTTGTCATTATCATCTATGCTATTATCGGCCTGGAGCTTTTCATTGGCAAAATGCACGCAACCTGCTTTATTCCTGGCTCAGGTACGCCCTCTTGATTGTGTCTTTTACACTTGGAATCAAATCAACCTTTTAGAATAGGTACATTGTGCATTTTAAAAATTATAACAAGCAGTTGTTCTATGTCTAAAATCTCCTGACCTAAAAAGTACTGTGCACTGATTTTCAACAAATACCAACAGGCATTTCAATTTGATAATAAAGGGGAAACAAGCCTGATTTTTAATCTGACAGCACGTGTACTCAGCTGAGCAGGTGTACAAAGGATTTTTTTTCCCACATTTGTCAAGGCAAGTTGACATAATAGCTTTTGTGCATTACACTTTGCACAAACTGAAAAACAGAAACTTTTTTCACCCTGGAGATCTCATAATATTATTGAAATCATTTTGCGTCAAATGGGGGAAAAAACTTGATCACTGTATTTCTAGTTTCAACACAATGACAAAAAGGACACACTCCCACAGCGTATCAGTTTCTACAAACAGCAAAGTTTACACAGCTTGTGTGTTTCTGTCTAAAAACACATTTTGCTGTTTTGCTTCATCGTTTATTTTTTCACAGCATGTCTGTGGATGTCACGTACCGTGTGGGTGATAAAATGCAAGTCTCTTCAAAACTCAACCTGGCCAGGTTATTCTCTCCAACGGGGGCTGCTTAAACACTTGGCATTAAGTAAAAATAAGACAATGTAAAAATACTCCATTACAAGTTAAAGTCGTTTGATATCGTACTTCAGTAAAAAGACCTGTGACTGACATTTAAAGATTGTTAATACTGATGCGTCAGTGTATTTTATTGTAGTAGTTGGTTGACATAGAGCTGGTTTTAACTACTTTACAGTTTGGTAGTTAAGTTCAGTGGTTCCTAACCAGGAGATTGAGCCCCTCCGAAAGGTCAAGAGATAAGTCCGAGCTGTTGTGAGATGATTAATGGGCAAAAAAAAGAAGAAAAAACTTCTGATACACAAAACTGTTTTCATATTTTAGACTTTTCTCTAATCTTTGTGTTTATTAGAAATAATGACTAACATGAAAAGGAGCCACACCTACAGTATGTACTGATTTTATACAAGAGGTCTTAACACAAAAAGGTTAAAAACAACTGGTGTAGTGGAGAAGTCTGAAGTAGCACAAAATGGAAATAGTCAAGTAAAGTACATAGCTCAGGCAGTCACATTACACTCAATTAGAAAACACCTCTGAACTATTTGTCCACCAGGTCACCCTTTATTTTAGGCTTAGAAAGAATCATTTTGTGGTGAGGCGCTGCAGTAAATCAGAGTGCTGCTGGTCATATCTGGTGTTTATTGCCACTGATTTCCTGAACTGATTCGATTCCAATTCACAAGGTTTTGATTCCCGATTCGAATCAATTCGATATTAATTCAATTAGAGATATTTCAGCTACAATATCTTTTTTTTTTCTTGGATATGAGATTCTCAGAGAATTAATGCTGTATTTTTTTCCTCTAACCTGGTGCATTATTAAAAACATGAATGCTTATATTATGAATTGACAGCAGTTAGCCGTTACATTAATGCATGTCTGTTGAACATGACCAACAGTTTAGACACATACCTCGAGAAATAATATGTGTAATTTACCTTAGTGCACCGGCTACACTCTCTATGAACAGGTGCACACGGCTCCTTGCACATCTTACATATAGCTTTGCCTTTGCTCGTCTCTCACGATTAGACGTGCAGTGCTCTTTGTTTACGTACCGGAGCGCACCTATGGTGCAACGTGATGATTGGATTTATAAACATTTCAACCAGATGTGAACTGTGGATATTTTTATTTCATCACCTTGAGAAAAAAAGGGGCGGGACGTCATGCCGATGTCTCCGTCAACATACAACTCACGTCACACAGATACAGGAAATAAACGGAAATGAAGCGTCTCGGTTTCTCTACTTTCTCTGATTGCACCTACCGTCACCTGATCAGATCTCGTCGTGACATCTTCACACATCCACAGGAGAGTGTAGAAGACGTATATTAAAAGATTGATCTCGTGTTTTATGAACCCATATCGGATTATTTATATGAAAATCGATTTTAATCGGAGAATCGTTTTTTTTCAACCCAAAGTTAAATGATTAGTCTAAAGTTAAAAGACAAAAGTTTTTAGTATTTACATAAAATACATTCTGATTACTTCAAACTGATTTTTCCTCTCTTCCTGTAGATGCGATAGCAGAGGAGGAACCAGCTCCGTGTGCGATCTCAGGGCACGGGCGCCAATGCCCCATCAACGGCACAGAGTGCAGGGAAGGCTGGCAAGGTCCCAACGGTGGCATCACCAACTTTGACAACTTCCTGTTTGCCATGCTGACAGTGTTTCAGTGTATCACCATGGAGGGCTGGACGGATGTGCTGTACTGGGTGAGTTCCTGGCTCTGTCCTCCCAGTTCAGTAACCTGTGACTGTCACACGCCTTCAGCCTTAAATGTCTGTTCAGATCAGACACACAACAGTAATGTGACTGACACTCTGATGATGAGGCTGCTGATATTTTCCTCAGGCAGCTCTTATCACTCTGATATGATTGATTGACTAAATGATTGAATGCATTCAACAACTCGTGTAACAACATGATGCTATCCTTGCACTATCAGTATTCCTGCAAAATCTCTACTTTTCCTGGTCTGGTGAAAAATCTACTATTTAACTCGTGTTCTGTTCTTCTCGTCTGACAGTTTCTAGCTTTAACAGCTTATTTCACTCTTTTCTTTCTCTTCATTCCTCCTCTCTTCCCCTCCTCTCCTTCCTCCATGGCAATGCTCCTCCAGATGAACGATGCTATGGGCTTTGAGCTTCCATGGGTGTACTTTGTCAGTCTTGTGATCTTCGGCTCCTTTTTCGTTCTTAACCTGGTTTTGGGTGTGTTGAGCGGGTAAGCACTTTCCTCTTGGTTGAAGGCTGGAGGTTCTCTGTGCTTGTGTGTGTTTTCTGTCTGTAAACCAGCTACGTTTGGCTCCTGTAGGTCAATGACGCCATTGGATGGGAGACACCTTGGATTTATTTCGTTAGCCTGATCATACTGGGCTCCTTTTTCGTGTTAAACCTTGTGTTAGGTGTGCTAAGCGGGTAAGAGGCAACCTGTGCAGTGGTTTTGGTCTGCAGTGTGTGTATGCTGTGGGTTGTTGTGTACCCCGCACTGCTTGCTGTGTTTGGGAAGTAGCGTTAGCCTACGAATTAGTTTGTTCTATGCTGAAAATTCTTGGGATGTGGGAAGTACGCAGATATTGACAGTTTATAAAAAGATTTTGAGATAATAAACCAATGACTGGTTACTCTGTGTTACGCCCTCAAGATAAATGTATATCCTCTGACCTCTGTGGGTATCAAATTATCACGTCCTTTCCACGGCAACTGCAAAGTGAGTGTTTCCTCCCCCACCCCACCTCATCCCCAACCCACCCAACCTCCTGAGAGAGAAATTAATCTTATTCCTCGCCCTTCACTCCCTCTGCGCTCCTAAGCTTTCTCAAACCCCAGTTTGCTTTCCCAGCTCTGTGGAGTGGGGGTGGGGTATTATAGTAGAATTAACTCTGGATGGTTGACCAGCCGGCAAAGCCTGATTTTGAAAAAAGCCAACAAGGTTAACATAATCATCAACTCAGACGCTCCTCAGTCAGCTGCTTGAGATTATTGAGTCTATTATCAACTTTCTAAATGGTCTCTTAAAAATGCTACTGTGATGCCTTCTTGCCATCAGGTATTTTTGTTTTTGTGTCAGTTCTTCTCACGTTTGACTTTTTTAACCATCACAGCTTAAATACATATTTTTCTTAGTAATGACAATATCCCACCATGCACTGCGTACACAGTGTTTACCTCCTTACATATTGCAGTCTCCACAGTAGTTGTTTTATATAATCTATGAATTTAGATGCTGTGCAAATGTTGCATGTCTCTTGAAACCATCTGTCTACCTAAATTGCCTTTTGTGTATGATTAAGATGTTCGCCCTGAAGG